TATGTAAAAAATATATAATGTGGTGAAAAATTTCTGTTATGTAATGGCCGTGGCAATGGCTTTATCGCACACCTACTTGTTTCCCACCAGGTCACCTCATACGAGTTCCTACCACCGCGGTTGGCCATTCCATTCTCCGTGTCCAACTTCCGCTTCAAAAGAAAGTCAGTATCAACAACTGCTACTTACCAACTTCCACAGTTAATGAGAACAAGCTGGAAGAGTTCTACAACCAGTTGTAGGATGTAGTCGGCAACGAGAAGTCCCTGTATAATTCCTTTGTAGGAGACTTTAGCGCCAAATTAAAAGAGACCAACGGAAATGAGATCGAAATAAGATTGGAAATCGGCTTTCAGCGCTCCTACTTGCAATACCTTTCTTCCACGATATTTCATTTTTAGACATTGAAGGAAACCGTAGATGGAAATAAGCGTTCTCTGACACCATGACTCGTGCGGGGATCTTACACATTCTTGAGAACAAAAGATGGTGCCACTTTGGCAACTCAGTGATCACATCATTCTGTGCTCAATCCCATCATCGCCTCCTCCGTTGAGAAGATTCGACTCAGCTATAAGCTGATAAACTACTCGTGTCATTGTGAGAGAAGAAGAAGACAAGTCGTGTATCACCAGAATATTCTCAATGAAATCTTGTCCTCATGTGATTGCAGATAAAAGATGGCCAAAGTGCTTAGACCAAGAATTGCAAGCTGCTTGCCGAGGAACCTAAAACTTGTGCCAAACTCAACTCAGTCCACCAAACATGAAATCCGGCCTACATCTTCGTCATCACTAAGGAGTTACTAAAAAAGGGAAGGAAACTGAAGTTTGACCCTACACAACAAACACACCTAACATGGCACGTAGTAAAGGCTTGCCCTAGAAGATCTTTGGAAGAAGATTTAAACCAGTAGAAATATGAAGAAATTGATGGAACCAACTCGAAGGTGATCTACTCTGAATAAGAGCCGTAGAGGTCTTTGGGACCATAATGTTTCGCTATCGGCAGTGATGAACAAAGATGAGACTCTCACCACATTTCGCTGTAAAATGATAGAGTAGTTTTTTTTTAGCAATATTTCCCGTTCCATGATGCTCGCCTCAGATCCCGAAATTCTCGCTAGAGAAGCATTGTAGGAGATTCGTCTTTCCAAAGTTCGAGATGCAATAGAAATCAAGCGTAGCACAGCTCCAGGAGCCGGCAACATCACCCCAAACTCTTTCTAGTTGGAGACCACAAACTTAACTACTTCTCTCAGCATACATGACATCTCATCTTTAGAAGAAGAAATTTCCGGACCAGTAGAGGACGTCGCGAACGAATCCTTCTCGAGAATGGCAACCGAAGGGACCTTCGTTAGTGCCACGAAAGATGTTTACTGAATGTACTCGGCAAGCTATTCATCAGCACTGTGCTTTTTAGCATATTGAAGACATTGGATGAAGCATAACCAGTTGAGGAAGCAGAATTCCAATTAGGATTCCGCTTCGTGGACTGCATCCAAACAGTGCCAAGGGTCAAAAATTTTTTTCGGGAATTCTACTTGACTCTAGTACTAATCTTAGTCGACAGTAAAAACATTTGACAGCGTCCAAACAAATATAATTTTGTCAACGCTCGTTGACTAAGGAGTGAAACACTCCTATGTATGAACCCTAGCAGACTTTTACCGGAACTGTAGCACAAATATGCAGCATTTTCACTGAACCCTCACCATTTTCATAGGAAAAGGGGTTCGAGAAGGTGATACCATATTGCCAAAGTTGTTTATTTCCGTATTGATGTGGATAACGATGTTAATCGATTAGGGCGAGAAGGGCACATGTATTGGTGATAATTTACTGTCAACCCCTTTCCTTTTTGTGATGACTTCGCCATTTTTTCAAGGAGTATCAGCAAATAAGAGACGATCTTCATTGAACCCAAACAAGCGTGAAAAAAAGGTCCAACTGAATATAAATAGACGAAGCTCCAGTTTATGAAGAACCCCATAGTTCGAAATCGAACAAATAGAACTGAACAGTCCCACAATTGCAGAAATTAGCTTCGTTCATGTATCTTGGACCTTGGGCGCCGAAAACATAAACAACTAAACAAAAAAAGAAAGCACCATGGAGCATTCGAGCTTATAAAAGGAGTTGGCGACCAACTAGCAAACCAAAATCTATGCCTCCACCTTGTCAAACATACAGCTCTGCTATGTAGCGAAAACGTGGGCTAATGCTTCTATTACCTCGAAACTTTTGTGCACCACCCGCAGAGTGCTTGAACGATGTTTTTCGAAATTTAAACCTCAATCACAACGTATTTCCAGAATTCGTTATTCGCATCCTCCAAGTCTATCGCATCCTCGAAATCTAAGAGAATATTTATCGATGGCGGAGCACAGATGAGCCAGCTGTACAACAAGAAGAACAGATGACAGATAAGTAAAAAGAACAGTGGTGCGGACTCCAAGAAAACGCTAACGTCCTCTTCGACAACCACCTAAGCGATAGGCTGTCGTGTTCGTGGCAAACGTCAACGTTCTCCATTCACAGATGGAAATAATTTCAAGATCACGGTATGTGACTCATACTCGCCATCATGCTCGAAGCACACCATCAACATGAGCTACGACTACGCAGGAAAGAAAGGGGAAAAATATCCTGGATCCTTCACTTCTAATGAAGACGGGCTATCCAAATGGGCGAATAAGAATATAGGATGTTCTCTCTACTATGGAGAACCTTATATTTCCATAGCAGTTTGCATTTCCATGTTGCTTGTAAACTGTTGTCAGCAAACCTGGTGTCCATTCCAATACTTTGCATACAGAATGCTTTCCAACTGAGGAATTACTTCTGGGCTTGTCTCTGAGTCGTAACACTTGCTCCCAACTCTTTTTAAATGCGAAGTAGTTGCATGTCCATATCTCATTTCTTGCTCACAGGACTTAATCAATCAACAGAAGAAGATTCACTCTTATTTTCAGAATAACTCTTTTCTCTCCATGTTACCTTTGCAGGTTGATTTCGCAGTTTATTCTTTCATATACACATCTATTGATAAACCATGTCGTTAATGTTGTGTCAATTCTGTTAAAGCAAAGGATTAATTATTACAGGTTGTCACCTGGTATTGTTGCGAGTCGCAAATTCATGAGATCCGTCTTGCAGGGAGCAATCATTACACAGACCAATCTATTTTTGCATTAGTTCTTCCCTAATTTAGTTAAGTTCCTCGTTTTATTATGTTGCATCGAATATTGCTTAAAAATACTGCCAAATTTCCTTTACAATTGTAGGTGAGTTTGCTATTTGTGAACGGTCTCCTGAATACTTACTTGGATATTTGGATAGTCTGTCTTTACTGGTTGTACAGGTTCCAGCATAATTCCCATTGTTCCGTAGTTTCTCAGGTTCAGCCATTGTGGTTTTCTGGAGTCCCGAGGTTACCCAGACCAAAGCCTGATCCAGCTCATCTCCATCACAGGCAACCGTCGCCCTTGTGGATCAGAAGGAGGTTTGCCGCCATGCGACTAGTTAGATACCAGGACAGTGGTGGATCCTATTACTGGTTTACTCATAGCTAGGCTTTCTGATAGAAACATTGGAAAGAATTGGACCCCTTCTCAAATTGGGAGAAACTGCTGGGAGGATGAATCTCCCACTGTACATCACAGACCGACACCCAGGAACACCTCCCAGCCACGGTGAGGCGGTAAACCGTTGCGAGGAGAAGTCCCCTAAATAAACAATCGAAATCGAAATCGATAATAGTTGACGAGCAGCTGTGAAAACGCTATCAAATAAGTGGATGGGGTGGAATGCCCGTCAAGGACTTGCTGCCGATGGGCACAACGACGAACCTTTCGACAGTATTTTTTAGAAAATTTCGAAATTATCTCATGGAAACTCTTTCAGCTTAACGGTAAAGCAGAAATGCTATTTACTTAATACTAATAACAATGAATTACGACTAAAGTGTTCAACAAGGAAAAGCATAGATTTTTGAAAAATGTTTTGTAACCGTTTTTTCATCTAAAAAAGTGTAAAACTGAGATAACACTCTTCCTTTTTCCTTCTCAATCTCGCCATTTTTTCATTTTTCAATGGCTTGGTGTTTTTGCTCTTTCCACTTTCTTCGCTACACTTCTAGGCACCATTCCCTTTGATGCTGTTGTTCTATGCGCTACTTTCCACTTTCTAGGATGTTGTGAAACTTTTCGCCCTATTTTGAACCACATAGATTAGTTCAACGACAGAATTGCCATCAATATCATGGTGCCAGAAGACGGAAATCTGGTGCTTCATCCATATTGCACTTTTCACAACCTTCCTTCTTGCGTCTTGTTCTCTTTCTCTTCTTCATCCTATTTCTCTGGCCTTCTTTTTTGAGTTAGTGAATGACAAACCAATCCTTACATTGTTTTGCACGGATGTGCTCTCACTCTCTCGTTATTATCGATTGTTTACGTGTTAATGTTCTGAGAAGGACCTTGATTCCTTCTGGACAACAATAATTTTAATCTTTTTTTTGCAGTTTGCATTTTTACAGTTTTGGAAATCACTCAACATCATAGTGGTTGCATTCCACATCATATCCCGCCGTGAAAAACAATAATAGGGACAAAAAGTTAACAAAATTCATTTAATTAGTAGTTTATGAGTCTGAGACGATCCTCCAGCTCTCTCCCTCTCTTTCCCTTTTTCTCCCTATCTCTCCACGTCCTATCCTTCCTGCTTTCACTTGAGTTAAGGGTATACTCTTAGCTGGACTTCCCAATTGATATATCGGACCCGTTCCGAGCTTGAGTGATCCTGGTGGGAAGCGAATCCGCCGGCGACTATTGGAGTTTGGCACTAAAAGCAATCGCCAGCACTAATGGATTGTTAGTGCAGAAAATATAATCCTATGTGCCAAACCTGTTTTCAATTTTTTTCCCTTCTTTTTCTACCCGTGTTGCATATTTTCACACTATTTATTGCAATTATTCTTTTCCTAATATTTTCTACATGGGCGAATTGATCACAACGTTTGGGAAGTGCGACTTTATGACCAAGCAGCAATTTGTAATGGTAATGGGAAGAAAATTGGCATCTATGTTAGTCAATATCGGTAAGAAAAATTAATCGGATTGTGACGGAAAGCGATATGCGGCTCCTCAGATATATTCTTTTCCCTTCACTTCGTTTGAGTAGATCGAATTCTAGAGGTTTTAGGTAACCATTCATCATCGTGACTGCAACCATGCAGAACGTTTATAAACACGTAATAATTAGTACATTGTGAAGAATATAATCTTATATTTATTTCTAAAGCCTCTAAGCATATTGTATAATAATTCCTAGTTTTTTGATTTTGCTTTACATAACCCATCGTCCCTTCCAACGGTTTATCGCCTCGTCGTGGCTGGGTGGTGGTACTGGCGGTCGGGCTGCGAAGCACAGTGGGGATTCATCTCTTAGCAGGGTTTACCAAGCTGAGAAGGAGTCCTGCGTTCTCATCAGAAAGACGAACTAAGAGTGATCCAATAGCAGGGTCCATCACATTCCTGGTATTAAACTAGTTAAATGGTGGCAAATCTTCTTCCGATCCATAAGGGCTGAGACTGCCTGTGGTGATGACGACCTGGGACAGACTTTGGCCAAACTGACCTCGCGATTCCAGGAAACCACATTGGCTACGCCATGAAATCTCCAAAAAAGTGGAGGTTATGCTGTGACCCGCACAAGCAGTGAGGAAGGGCCGTCCAAGTATTCATGTAAGTAATTCTTCATCACATCTACTGTGAGGATGCCAGCACTTCTAGCTTTCGATTCATTTTCCTCGCACTCATTATCGTCCAAAATGCTCTTCAAACATTTCGCTTGTTCTTGCATCTGTTGCCTAGGAATTTTGTCTACTTTATGAATGTCGCAGAATGGTGGACGAGTCGATTCTTTTTGCACTTTCGGAGATAGCTGGCTAAGGCGTCTTCCACGTGGATTGGAGAAGAGCGTTGGACCGAGGATCGAACTAGCACTTTCGCTTTCTAATCGACGGCATCACTAACCGCTGCGCTATTTACATCACCATTTTGTAATAATACCACATCGAATTTGTGAATACATGTTCAGAAATGTCACATTACAAAGGCATGAAAGTTGAATGACACACAGGCATGACCAGTCGCGTCGCCTTTTGTAATCAATATGTATGCTTTGAATTGCACGCTACAATCTATTGTTAATGTCATAAGTATAGTACTATCTCAACAAAGTTTCGACGAGGTCAAGTTTTTTTTTATTGATCTAATATTGCTTGCTGATGACATTATGCTGTTCGTTTAATTTCTTTTAGATAAATTTACGTTTTTAGAATGAAATACTTCACCATTTCTTTCCTATTTTCAACTTCCTACGCCCAGTCTTGTCGTTGCTTTATTGAACCCAGCAACGATGCGTTTTGTGGAGCAGATTGGGGTGAGATTAGAAAGCACTTGAGAACTATTAAAGGCAAAGTAATGTAATAAACAGAACTTTATTCACCAAACAAGCAAACAATACGTATAGGTCGGATGTGTACAATTTTAGAGTAACAACTGTAAGCTGATTTCATAAAGAATGCTTTGGTCGTAGCGTCGTCCAGCAATGCTTGATGTCTTTGAGGGTTTCGTTGATTACCACTTCCGGTTTACTTATATGCAGTGAAATCAAACTAAAAATGTGCATATGAAGGCGTTACTGATACTAAAGACCATAGAAAACCATCATCCCGACGATTTCATCATAAATGGTCTAAAGTGTTGACCTAAGAGGTCAGCAGTAAGGTCTGGTACTATACTGATATCGTTGGATGGTTATCAGTGGGAAGCAGACTTCGCAGCAGTAATTCATTAGCTGATCCGAAATCCAATTTCATGGATTCCTCACCAAACCATTCCTAATCACCCATCACATGATGACTCCTTAATTCGACTTGATAAAGAACGAAACACGGAATTTTTACGTTCAACTTTTTCCTAGCCCTTATTGTCGCCAGTAGGATCGTTAAAATCTTAAATCTCTATTTTTTAAGGTCCTAAATCTAATATTTGAAATAGTGTATATTTTAGTAACGAAATATAGCCCAATTTAAAATCTTTGAAATACTTTCTCACAAAGCTTTCTAGTTTAAGAACGTGGTTTAAGATGTAGCTTAAGAAGGCTTTAAATTTTATCTTTACGTGATCAAAACCGGTTTCTTAAACGGATTACTGCCAACTTTCATTAAGATCTTTCTTTTTAGTTGCGCATGTGAAAGTTCTTAACAAGTCAGTTCTTTTGATGATTAACAGCTACGAATATGTCACGTATAATCTGCAAAAGGTGAAACTCTTTAAGGTATTAAATTTACTGGTATTTGATGTTTTGCTAACAATATTTCATGGTGCCGTCAAATACAGAAGCATGGAATTTTGACGGGATAAATAGGCAGGCTTGCCTCTGTGTTAACACAAATATTTAATCTATCTTACACGACATGCACTCATGTCCACTGTGCTGATCTCAGCACTACTTGCATTGGATTCATATCCTCTTATTCATAATGCACGAAGGTATTTTAACACTTCGAGTGTAAGTTCTGTCACCACTTGAGGATTGCCTTCTTCTTCTTCATGAATTTTGTAGTAATGAGGAGTCGATTCTCCCTTGAGTGGTGAGATAGCCGAGCTAGACCGTTCTCACTTGGAATTTGAGGTAATGGGTTGTTCCAAGAAAAATCTTGTACCAATCTCCCAATCCCACAGGTGTGAAGGGTTTGGTGGGCATGGGTAGGAGTCGGCCCCGCACCGTGCTAGTGATGAATGGCATCACCATAACAGCGCTATTCACCTATTAATACAATTGAGGCGTAAATACAAATGATAAGGCATGAGGACAGCTGAGAACCTCTTATGGGCGTTGAGCCCGCGATTACCCTTGCCTGAGAGTCACTTCTTAGCTTGGACGTGTTCTATGTAAGACTGTTCTTGTAACTCGTTGAATTGCTTATAGTGTTAAGGAAGCCCTAATGTAGAAATAAATGAAACCTTGCTTAAAACTAAGCGAAGTCGCCGACACGTCGGTCAGCGCATTCCAAGAACACGTGGTAAGCACCTTGTGTCAGCTCGGCAAGAGAAGTTCATGAGGTCTACATAAAGTAAATCTGTAAATTTTTATTGTTTTAGATGAATAGCATTCACTATAAAGTTATAGGACATTAGTTCTTAGCAACTTAGCTGAACAACAAGCAGCATTGTAGATATTAGCTAATCCAAAAAGGTAGAAATCTCTAAAAAAAAAGCGTTTCCTGAGAACCGAGTCATGCTTAACATAGCCATAAACAATCAATATTTTTTAGGTTATTAAGTTAACGCGAGGTTCAAAAAAAATGCTATTATCTTTGAGATTTCGGCTGAAGCGCTTCGTCTGTCATCTCCAGTGATGACAACATCTGTATGGTCTTCATGTGGAGTTTCTCTTGTTGAAGACGAGGAGTATTTGCTTGCAGGTTGTTGGACCATTCAAAATATCAATCTCAATACTTAGTAGTTATGACTTTTTTCAATATTTTCAGATTCTATTTACTGTTTTTATGCTGCAGGTAACTACTATGATGGAAATTTTCTCACATCAAATTGTGGACAAGTGATTGACGATGAACAAGAAGGATTTTTTGGCAGAGGTCCTATGAAGTGGGAAAATGTCACTGCAGAATTTCTGGCCAGCCTCGGTTCATTCAAGTGTTAATGAAGGAAAATTCATTGAAGGAAAGCCTTCTCTAATTTTAATCTATGTCTGTTCATAAATGCTCAAATTTTTCTCGGCTTTGAGGATATGACTATGAACAAGAATATTATGGGAATATGTAGCCTAGAGCTCACAGAATACTGCTGATTGACCTCACCAAGCATCACTCCAGATCTGATATGAATCAACCACAGCATTTGTTAAAACCGACTTGCATTTAATCTTAGCATAAGCAATCAATATTTTCATCGATTACAGAGTTAGTGACAAGTTTTATTCTTTAAACGCGTCGACGCTTTCGTCTTCTTCACAGCCAAATTGGTTCAAGTCAATCGTCGACAGCCATTCCCTCGTCCTCGCAATTTGGATGTTAATTATCGATCGAGTAGAACCCGTACGAGTGGCACACCGCTCGTGTTGGCTTAATAATCTGGGAGAATGTTGATTATTTATGCTGAGGTTAAATGGAAGTCGATTTTCAGAAATACTGCTACACTATGTGCCAGCTATTATAGCATCTACTGCAAGATGCACTACCACCATGAAAGCACATCACAAGATCATAATGGATGGTAGATGATTAACAGTCATTCTGTACAAAAGATCACGACCGAGTGGAAAAAACAAGAACAAGAAAATATAATTCTAATTTTGTTTATTTATATGTTCTTATGAACTGATCTTGTTGAGCGGATGCGAGGTTGGTATAGGTTGTCGTTTTCGTTGCTGTTGGTGTTGTTCGTTGAAGGCTGACGTTTCGGCGATTTCGTATGTCTCAGAGCCATGATGACTAACGGTAATTAATTAAGAACAACAAAACTCGGTTGGGCTTCGAACCCGCGATTATCTTTACAGGGCCCTCCGTGCCATCGCGACATCTCTTGCTTTGCTTTCTCTTAATTCTTTCTATTTAATCGGTACTATCAATAATCATGGGCGCGTGTGGCGCAGTGGTCGGAGGCGCCCTGCAACATACGTGGAATCGATCTCCGCGTTCATGCCCACCAAGCCTTCCATTCCTCCGGAGTCAGTCGGCAAATTGGTACCAGACTTATCTGGGAGGATAGCAGCACTGGCTCGATACATCGGTACGCCACTGCGAGTCTTTTTTGTAAAGGCCAGATATGCATTCAATCTCCTCCAAACGATGCTCAGTGAAGTCGAATCCATGGCGCATACCTCAGGGATTGATCAACACCGAGAGCTTTATCCTTTTTTTATCATTTTATCAGCAATCACCAGTCAACGGGAATGGCCTGAAGAACAGAAATCGGTATTGCACTCAGTTACTCCGAAGATTTGTTCAAAATCACAATGTTTGACTTCTATTTGTTGCTAATTCTTTTTTATGACAAGATATTACGTGAAATTGGTTTCATTCAGTCAGCCATATGATAATAGTAGCAGTATATATGATCTAAATTACATCACTTATTCCTTAACCTAATGTTGATGAGCGGCATCAAAAGTACTGCGCTATCTCCCCCTACCTAATTTTATTACTTCTAAAAGGAGGAACTGTGGTGAAAATACGTTCACCTCCTTAGGCTTAAGTTTAAGGAATGTGTACATTGTTGTTGAACAACGAAACTATGAAGGTATTGTGATCAACACGACATGACATTTCTCACATTAATACCTGGATTTGGGTGATATTTGGCTGATGTGTTGGGGTTTAATGAACGAGTCCAGGCCCACGTATGGAAGAAAAACATCGAAATTCGTGTCGTGCCGATTACTTTTGGCTTTGACGAAAGAGGTTGTACATGTTGAGTTGAGGTCAAAGCTTAATGTGATCAGAAGTTAGTTCACTACTGCAGAGAGTGATGACTCAAAAATTTGCTATAAGATCTCCCAGAAATCCTTTTTATGACAACTTCCCATTATTTTCTTTCAGTTTTTGATTAAAAATGGGTAGCGGAGTTCCCATTGTTTCCAGCTTAGATCGCGTAGATTTTTTGTTTAACAAGCTTACACGAAGTTGATAGCACTCTTTATTTTCGGCTAAGGTTTTGACTCCTCCGTCTTTATCGGAGTCGATGATCTGAGTCGATGGTCCACAATTGTTCGTCTTCTCCATGCGGCGTTTTCGTCGTCGTAGCGATCAGAGTCTTCTCCAGTGGAGCTCTGCTTGAATGAGACAATCTCACCCGGCAGCGCTCTTTTATACAAGGCGGTTGTTGCTGACAGTTATTGTCCGTTGGTAATATTAGCTTAATAATCCAAGAAGGTATCGATTATTAGTGCCAAGGTTAAATGACGATCGATCAGAAAATATTGATTTTCACTGTGAATTGCAATTTCCAAATACAAACAAAATATGACCAATTATCCAATGCATCGAAACATCATAAGAGTGAATATAAGAAACCAGTTAAACAAGAGCAATGTTTAGGTCTCTATGCACCTTATTGGGTGCATATAGCATAATGATAAAAAATTCATGTAATACACATGTGACAGCCGGTTCAATCTGGAGCCCCAGGCTTTCCAATACTTTCATCATTCCCGGGTCGGAAAATTTGTGCCAGATTCGTACGGGAGGATAAAAATATTGACTTGACACATCGGTAGGCAATCGCATGCCTGTTGTTTAAGTACCAGATATGATTTCAATCACACCTACAATTCTTGATGTTGCCAAATGCAAGGCACATTTCTCGTGGATTGACCAACATTGGAGGCTTTTCCTTTAACCCTTTACATATTTTGTAATTTAAGCAAATACTGGAAAAAAATTTTTGAGCGTTTGTTTGGAATAGAGAACTTCAGGAGTTGAGCACGAAGCAGATGACCACGGTAAAAGATTATCGTTGTGCTTATTGAATGAATAAGAAAAACCAGAATGTTCTGGGATGTTCTCGACTCGGAAAAAATGGCTTGCGCATTTTTTTCACTTTAGAATCGTGAGTTTCGAATCTAATCGAAGGTCAAGAATGCAGGATACTCTTGACTTCGTTCATATTATCCCGCAAAATACGAACTTTTCATGTTCCAATGGTAGAACAAGCATAAACTCTCCTCAATAGCTCTTGCATAGGCTTCTACTAGCTTCAGTACTCATTTGGATAGCTGAATGAGACTTTCTTATCGCTAGTCAAGTGTATTGCCGACTACTAAACTGCTATTAGATAACATGCATAGCAATTTACTTTTTTCCCCTTCATGTCTGTGAAAGCCGTAGCGAGGTGCTCAGAGTTCGTCAGTACAGGCAGTAGTTTAACTTCAATGGATCAGCCAGAGATCGTTTAACGACAGCGAGATTCTTTCATAGGTGAGTTTTTTAACGGAGTCGTCAAAATTGTTATCAGATTTGCTATCACTTGGTCCTCGATGGTCCATACCCTGAGAAAAAAAAGCCACATTAATGAAACATTAAAGAAAGGCGGTGTGAAAAATAACGAATGCAGAACACCTTGCGTGACGTTCGCCATAAGAAGAATGAACCTGATCTCTACATAAATTTTGATTCCCTCCTTTTTGAGTCAACAAATTATTGTGGTACTTGATCGTCGCAAATCTTAACTCCATCTGAATCAGCGTTGTGCGCGGTGGGAAAATTGACGTGGGAAGACCTAATCAGTGTCATATGTTTTCACTTAATTGCAGTCCTGGTTTGTTCTACTCTTTTCTTTCATCCATGTGATCCACAAAAACAAACATGAATTAAAATTTAAAAAATGAAGTATCGGTACTTCAACAGAAAATTGAGATGATTTAATACTTTACATTACATCGAGTGTAAAGGAGGAAAAAAACTCCTAGCAGATCTCCTACAATCGAAGTTCGATTTAACTTTCGTCATTAGCTCTTAAGGTAAACGATAAAAATACAACCACAAGGATGCTGAGATATGAGCGAAACTCGGAACCTTAGCTAGGCTTTGAACCCGTGATTACCCTTCACGGTTGCTCACAAGCTATCCATCACATTAACCGAGGCCTTTACTTTGGCTTTCTCTCAGTAATTCTCTTACTTTATTGGTGCCATCAGCGATTATCCGTAAAATACAGTAATCTAGAAAGCACAAACCGTCACTGGACCAGGTTAAGCCGTAGTTTGAAGTCAAAATCTCAATGTTTGAGTCTGGTACCAATTTGTCAACCCCGGAGGGATGGAAGGCTTGGTGGACCATGAGCGAGGGGATCGATTCCACGTGTGTATCGCAGTGGTGCCTCCAATCACTGCGCCACACGCCTTCTTTCATCTCATCATATGGAATAAAAATGACAGATAGGAACCACTTTTCGATAGACTAATCCGGTGACTAAATCAAAGAATCATGGATGCTCTGCGAATGCCTCGTCATCCTAGTCAGTGAACGTGCTTTGCATTCTGTGTGATCGCCGAAACACCAGAAAACTGATATTTCATGTCAATAATTCATTGAATGATTGGGTTGACACGGAATTAATAAAAAAGTTCTACTCGGCTAACGTTTCGGCGCCTTCTGCTTTTTCCGAGACGCATTGATCTGTCGACTTAGTAAAATACCTAATAATACTGATGTTGCAAGTAAAGTAAAACGATTAAACGAAAACAGTTCCCAGAAAAGAAAAGCCTTGTAAACAAAACAATAAAAATACGGCTCTCGGCGTTGATCAATCCCTGACGGATTTGCCAGGCATTCGTCTTAATTAAGCATCGTTGGAGGCGATTGAATGCATATCTGGTTTTGACAGTGGCCCTCGATGGCCTACAGTTATATGGAGCATACGCTAATATCCTCCCAGACAAGTCTGGTACCAATGTTTGCCGACCCCGGGTGGATGAAAAGCATGGTGAGCCACGGACGCTTGGATCGATCCCACGTGTCCCTCAGACCACTACGTTACAAAGGCCTTCGGAAAAACAACTGCCTCAAATTTCGACTCATATACCTCTTCTGTTCTCTACAGTTTCTACTCCAAATAATCCTTCAGCATAAAGATTTTATCTGGACTTAAAGGAAGTGTATTTGCTTGCATCATCATCTCATTATGAGAAGAACATAACAGATA